AAGTAGACCGATCAGGAAAGTAGACCGATCAGGAAAGTAGACCGATCGGGAAAGTACACCCAATTGGGAAAGTAGTCGAAATGGGAAAGTAAACCAAACAGAAAAGTAGACGAAATGGGAAATAGACGAATCGAGAAAAACAAATGGACCGATCGGGAAAGTAGACGAATAGTGAAAGTAGACCGAGCGGGAAAGTAGACCAATTGTACCGAAGGGTCTTAGAAGATAATAACTTTTTATCTTTGCGTAATTTTTTCGATGAAGATTTTTTTATGGTACCAAGTGACGGAATGAACAAGTCTTTGGTAGTGAGCGACACGCCTGTCCATAACACATGCAGTTAGAGTTCAAAATTGCAAAGAACTGAGGGGCACTGCCACTGTGTTTCAGGGTGACATTAAACATAAGTTGACAAGTTCAATGTGCCTGAATTTTACCTTACCCTTCAAAACCGGAACGCAGTAATGCTCACATTACTGTTTGACGGCAGAAATAGGTAAGGTGGCAGTACTTCCCATGAAGAAGTCTTTCACAAGGAGCCCTACACCTAAACCTAAACCTGCGGCTGTGCCAAGGCGACTGAGCTGATAAATTGTATTTGCTTGCAGGCACCGAAGAATAGTGGTTTAGTGTATATAAAGATTCACGCCCCAAATGCAGTAATTCAGCAACTAGGTGACCACTACAGCTTCAGGAAGTACTTCAAGAATAACCACCTCGAGCTCAGCAAGGATGCCGTGCCTGACGAAAAAGATATAATCAAATGTATCCGGTATGTTTTTTGCATTTATCTTTGCATATTTTGTTTTTTTATTATAATATCAGGTGACAAACAACCGGGATAACCCCATTCCCATTAATCTCAAAGCTGTTTAATGCATCTGCGAGTATGTCAATATCTCCTATGAACACTACCCCGACTTTCTTTTTTGTTTATTTTGTTATTTTTGTAAACAGCCATATTTGTTTGTGTGCTCTACTCCAGCCTGACCATGACCGTGTTTTGGAAATTTGTATAGCCAGAAAAAAAGTCGTATTTAGTCGGTTTTAGCCGTTTTGAAGTTATTAAAGTGTTTTACTGTCCACGTTAAAATAAGCTTATTCCGGCGGCACCATTTTTGAATCTCAAGAACCTCAGCTCCTAGCTTAGATCTGATTGCACCCAGAAAAAGTTGTGAATTAGTCGGTTCTAGTCGCAAAATTTTAGAATTAGTAGATACAACCGATTTATTGTTTCTAGGTTATACCTGTGTTAGTCTCGGAGCTCATGTACAAATTTTGCAAAATATACCGAATTAGTTGTTTATTTTTTTTAAATACATGCTATTTGAAAGGTTCGATAATGTTTAGTTTTTAATACAAGGAAATTAGCAAAAAAATATACAGTTATTTTTCCTTATTGGCATTAGCATTTATTATCGATTGTCATGATATTTATTAGTGTACGTATCTCCTGTTGGGCTCCTGACTTACACGAGGCGAACGAGGCGCGTGTAGTACAGTCGCGTACGACTATTGATAAGAATAATTTAATAATGAATTAATGACTTAATTGAATAATGACTGACTGATGACTATTGTAATTTATAGCGCAAGTCATTTTCAACTACAATTTGTGTTACGGTTAAATGTGACTCTAAAAATTCAGAAGATATTTCAAATATTTATTTATTGCACTCTATCAATTAAAAATTATTTTAATCACCACGAACACGATATCTTGAGTGATTTCACAAAGAACATTTGGAGCGGTGACCTTCCTTATACTCCGTGCAACCATTTATTTGACATATTATTATGCATACCTCCGAAGTTCCGTAATTATTGGCATAGAACCATAGTGCAACCTTAGAATAATAACGCATAGAAACCTAGTCCCCACACGCTAAGTGAGGTAAATTGAAGCGCTCCCAATGGGCCTACACGAGAGGGCGGGCCTTCAGTGCTCAAGGTCAACTTGCACCGCGAACAGCTCAAGAATTTTAGCTAAAAATTACGAAATGTGCGGTAAATGAGTTTAAAAATACGTCAGACAAACATGAAATAGATACTAACATCACATTCCACAAGGAAGTAATGCGTTTCGACTTGTACTTTATATAAATATTCACTAAAACCGAAAATTAACCTACTACTAAAACTAGCCTACATGAATTTGATTTTTGCCTCACTTGTGACAGTTCGTTTGATATGAAACTATCATTCTATGCGTTATTATTCTAAGAGTGCAACCATAAACAAAAAAAATGCAATACTTCCTTCCTCCAGACTTAGCATGAGCCCGAAGTCAAAAGTTATCTCTTCTTCGAACTGTCAATTTTCGAACTGTCAACTGTCAACAAAGATTTTCGAAGATAATTTTTGTCTTCGGGCTCATGCAAAGACTGTAGGACTCTTTTATTTTTAAATGTTAGCTAAGCGACGTTCTCTTTAGCTTTGATATTTATCGAGCCAACAGATTATGTAACGAAGATTATTCAATTATTAATTCTTGAGTGGGTACTGTGCGTGCTCCTGGGGCGGCTCAACCGAGGCACTAGCCTCTCGAAGAACCAGATAAAGTCAAGTGACAGTGGTCTGTGACAACCCTGTACACTGGCTGATCTGGGGTCAGGACCTGAACTTATAAGGTACAGGTAAGTAGGGAACTTAGGACACATAGGGCACTATAACCTGTGCGCGCACTGCTCCACGCACACATCCACTCAACTGTGAAGTTCAGTGGCTGCTCCCCCAACCCCCGCAGCGGATCTGTTGGCAGGCTCCGATTAATATTATGTATACATATATATAAAACCAAATAAAAAGATATCGTTTGTTTAAATGTTCTTTGCAAAATACTAACAAGCTCCCAGGCCTGTATCGACGACAGAAAAAAATAATTACGATTTTGCACTAGATCATTTTGAAAGTAAACGTATCGAGCCATTACCGCCGACTTATTGTAAGCGAGAAAAACAAATTTTGCAAGAGAGATAGGCATAAACTAAAACGGAAAATTATACTAACGAAGTCCATGAACACACTTCGTTTATTTTGGGTCAGCTTTCGCCATACTTTTTTGTACTTGGGTGTCTTCAGAAATATAAAGACTGCTGACAGACATTTAGACCGTAACTTAACGAAAAAAAAATGGAGGTCAACAGACTGATGAAGTTTAAGATATTTATACTCATAAGCTCAGATTACAAAACATAATCTGAGCTCATAAGACTTTTTACTTACAATGATCAAAAATAAATTAGGGTTATATAAAACAAACATAAAAAACAAACAAATTTGATCGACGTTGTTTTTGTTTTGTTAATATGGGTAAATTTGAAACATTTTACACAAACCCAACCAGTGCGCCGTTGAACCAACAAAGACAGTGAAACGTGTTACACAGATCAGCAATAACTGGATGTGATAACTTTTCAAGTACAAGTATCGTACATGATAATCGATTGATCCAAAATACTCTTTATTGCGCACAAAAATCAATGACTGGACATAAAGAAGCTGTAAACAGGTTACAATATGTAAATTTTTGATAGGTAGACTTTCTTACAGGTGTCCCCGTGGGCATGGGTAAATGTATTGTAATAATTTGTCAATAATTTGCCAAGCAACTGCACGTTGTACTAGAACACACAAACAGAACCAATTTAGAAAACTTCTCATCTAGATCTCTCTTCTTCATCAGAACCTCATCGCTGAGCCACCGAGGTCGTTGAATGTCAATTTTTATGATACGTATATAATATTTTTCTTACAGCCGTAATTATCCAGGACCAGGTGCGTACTCTACAATAGATAGAATCTATATTGTGTACAAATTTCTGAGATTCATGCCTTTTGGAGATGCAGAGAACTACCGCGGTATTGAACGGTACGTGCATGTTCTATTTCGTTAAAATAATGTAATATTGTTTGGAATAGATAAACAAAATCAAAGACAAAACTTCAATCCACTGTACGTCCCATTGTCAGGTCTGAATGTCTTCTAAAGAGAGGGTTTGGATCATCGAGTATATAACTAGAAATAGAGAACAAATGTAATTTATGTCATTCTGTCTCCAGCTACTTGAAATGGACATGTCGTCCAATTTGAACTTCGGCAGATACATTGAATCCATGGCCAAAAACGCAGCAAGAAAGCTTGGAATCCTTTCCAGGTTGAGGCGTTACTTTACACTGGGACAGTTGCTTCAGCTGTACCAAGCACAAGTCCGATCGTGCATGGAGTACTGCTGCCACCTTTGGGATGGATCTGCTACATATCAACTGGCCACTTTGGATTCAATTGACAACTGTGCCAAGAGGCTTATAGGTGACTCGGAATTGGTGGAGGCGAAGCTGCAGAGCCTTGAGCGCCGCCGTAAAGTTGCCTGCTTATCGCTATTTTACAGGATATATCACGGAGAGTGTGCGATGGAATTACACCATTTAATTCCGCCTTCCCCTTTCCTGACTAGGCGTAGGCTTGGATTCCACCCCTTTGTTGCGGATATTCCAAAGATTCTCACGAAGCGTTACGCTTTCACATTTATATGGCGAACGACTATGGAGTGGAGATTTCCCTGCCTGCAGACTTTTTCCCTGAGCGTTATAACTTGGGTCTTTTCAAAGCGAGAGTGAATAGGCATTATTTAGGTGTGCATGCATCGTCGACCACATCGTCACTTTCCATCAGGTGATACGCACTTATATTTTATAAAAAAAAATTGTTTGAAAACTATTCTGCCTATAATCATCAGGGTAACAACTACGCTCCGATTGGCCAGCCCGAATTCGAAACAATTGACGATTGTACCAGTTTAACTTGAGCTTTGCTATAATGGACGATAATTAAATGCATTTTTAATATTTAATTACCGATGAAATGTGATTCCGCTTGTTTTGTAATTAGATGTTTTGCTGTTTTTCCCACACCACCGAATGGAACAGCCCCCCGTTAGAGATATTATATTTATTATAGTAAACACAGAATAATAAATAATCTGGTTACATACTCGATGGTTTGGACCATTGTCTACCTCTCTGGCCCAATGCGGGTTAATTTTTTTCCAAAGGTTGTGAACTTTTTCCACATTCAGGTTTCCATTATCACACATAAACTATATTTAGATATATCCTCTATCCCACGCCCGAATGGCCACTTTACTTACTCCTTCAGTTCCACAAATTGGTAAATATTCGGAAATTTGCAATAACTAGATAAATGTAGAACCAAACCACTTATTAATAAATGGCTGGTTCTAACATATGAAAAATAATGTTTTATTTATTTATTCCATAACAAAAAAAAAACATTGTGTCGGAAAAGAAGCATGACATAAACTAAATTAATGTCTATACAATAAAATATGTCTAAGTACAATCAAAATTTCTAATAGATTTCGATCAAATATAACAAAATAATAATAAATAATTAAAAACAGAAATTAGGTTCAGATATAAATGATATGTCATTATTTTTAAATGTCACTTAACTACATTACAAACTAATTCGTCTACATGATAAAATGCTTTTTCCAATAAGAAACGCCTCAACGACCTTTTGAAAGCAATAGGGTCCTGTTCTATTTTTAAGCACATAGGGAGACTATTAAATACTTTAGCCGATTGATACCTAGGACTATGCTTGACTATGTCCAACTTTGGTGCTATAACCCCACGTCTTTCTTTCCTCCTAGTCCCAAGTCGTCTCGACTCTGTCTCCTCACCATATTCAGAGGAACACCTAGTAACGGCAGTCAATAAGTCCAGAATATACAGACAAGGGACTGTAAATATTGACAATTTACCGAAATAGGGTTTACAGGACTCCCAGGGAGGAATTCCAACCATAGTTCTAATAGCTCTTTTCTGTAAGGTGAAGGCCCTGTTAATATTGTATTCGTAGCTGTTTCCCCAAAACCTGATGCTATATCTTATATGAGACTCTACAAGAGCGTGATAAACCATTTTTAAATTATTGATGGAGAATGTGTTTAGAAACTATAAGCATAAAGTTTATTGAATTACAGACTAATAGAAAGAGGAATATTTCGCGAAGTTTATCCACTACATGATGGCCCTTTCTATATAATGGATCAAGATTACACGTCTATAAACGGTAGACAGGTAAGTTTTGTTGTACAGCATCAGATTAAATATCAAGCGGGCTCCAGATTTTCAGCGAAATGTTTCGGCAAATATTCTTGTCGAGGCGAAACCGAGCCTTTACATTTACATGGGATGTGAGCCTATAGTCGGTAGTAGTACGGAAATTGCAGATAAACCGAGAAGCGGCAGACCGATAACGCCAAGCACAGATTGAAATCGAGAACGTGCTGATAAATTGATTCGAAAATACCTACGCATTACAGTTCAGAATGGGTGCAAACTTTTTTACTCAGCGCCGCATATTGCTGATGTCCATTACATCATTCCCATAAACAATTTTCAAGCGATTTTGGATTTGCTTAGGTGCACAATCTTCTTGCCAGAAACTCAATGACGGCTCTTCCATTCAATATATTGATCTAATCAGTCAATCTGAAATTGACAAGAATAAGCAAATAGAGTGAGATTACTACGAGTAGACATTTTGGTAACTCCATCTTTTTCTTTTGAATTAAAAGTTAGAGCAATGGAGGCTTTACTTTTTGACCATCCCTAGTAGATTATCAAATTCCCAAAGCGAATTGTATAGACACTAGTTAGTAAAATGTACGTCGACAACACTAAAGACGTTTTAAGTATTTCTAGTAGGGACTCTTGGTTTATTGTCGTATTAAGTTAAAAGGTACGAGCAGTCACGTTCTTAGAAAGAGTAATGCTACGCTTTGTACTTATTACAGGCACTTCATGAAAATTGGGTTGGAAGCGAAAATATAATACGAAGACAACCAGTCAATACTATTAGGGAATACCTTGGTGAACGTGTGAGTTTTTTCTAATGAATTCTGGTTCTCCGGATTAATCTTTAAACTGCGCACTGCATTAATGTACATAACTGGATTATATTGTTTTCAGATGGGTTTTTTGTTTGCATTTTTCGAGTTTTACAACTTAGGCCTCGTTGCGGCTTTGGTTGGTGGGATTCTTGTCTTCTTGCTGGGTCACTATTCTAAATCACAAGCTATCATCAAGTAAGTGAAATTTTGGAGACAATTATTTTTTCTAAAAAAACGGAGTTGATTCGTGACTACTGTACGGACACCTGACAAGACTGTAGCAGTAGAGCTCCTTAGAAAGAGTTCGTCTAGGGAAGTACTGGCACCTTACCTATTTCTACCCTCAAGCAGTAATGTCAGCATTACTGAGTTCCGGTTTTGAAGGATAAAAATGCTGGTGAGTTACAGGCACATGGGACTTCTCACGTCTTAGGGTGACGGGTACAGTGGCAGTGCCCATAAGATCTTTGCGATATAAAGTGGCACTGCAACTGTTATGGACAGGCTTGTAGCTTACCACCAGGCGCATGACTGTCCGTCCCGTCACTTAATATTATTTTAAAAAAGTAAAGAAGAAACACTAATGTCAAATGTGGAAGTAAGATAAGTAAGCGCCTTTTACGAAAACCGTTATCCTAAAATATAAATTGTATATTAATTGCAACAAAATGATCACGTAAGGGTGCGTACAGGTCTGGTGGCGTAAATATGCTGCAAGATGCAAATAAGTGCTATTCTGTAAACTAAGAGGCGCACGTATTGTCGCATGTGAGTCGCACGGGTGTAGTTCATGTAGCTGAAATATCCGCCCGAAATATGGCTCTAATCGAGCCTCCGTTACCATCAGAACTGCTAATGGTCAAACTCACACCTACATAATGTTAAAGCACTATGAAATCCCCTTTCACCCCGGACCTCTGTGGAGTACAAACGAGTTTTTTAATAAAATTTTTCTTCATTTCTTTTCCATTTTTTAAATTTTTGTGTAAATAAATCCAGTGCAAATATTAGGAGTGCGTAACTATTCAGTGATTTAATTGATTTCGTTGAACCTCTTCACACATCTTCAGCGAGTACACACAACACTAGTAAGATTTATATGCATCGATAGAAATGGACAACATAAGACCACGCCACTGTTCTACACTTTAGTAATAAAAGGACAAATATACTCCGCCCGCTTTTGCTACCCTAAGAACAGCAAACAATAGAGAGATCCAGTTAAGCTGGCGACTAATAAATCCAGTAACCAGTGAGTTGACCTCTTAATACTTGAGCAAAATCTAACCACTATAACATTCTGGTAGCCTGGTACAGAATTCATTTTTACTTCACATTAGATATCTAATAATGCCGTTACGTCACTCCCCGCCCCCCTCTTCATCCTCAAAACGTACTCAGATATGTGCACCCAAGTTCAATTGTCGTGTGACTTGGATACTCCCTCTGAACGCAGCGGGGGTGGCACTGTCAGCATGCGCTCCAAGCGAAGACGTGAACAAGATGACGATCTAAAAGATCTTAAATCGGAAATGAGGGGGCTGTTTACAAATCTGTCGAATTCTGTAGAACAATGTTTTAATGAGATAAAACAGCAAAATAATTAATTACAAATGAGTCTGCAGTTTATTTCTGATAAATATGACTCCGTTCTGGAAAAGCTAAAGAAAAATAGAATGAAGGAGAAAAAGTATATTCAAACTTTAGAGGATAAAATTGAAACTTTGGAGCGCAAATATAAAGCAGCAGGTATAGAAGTTCGAAATGTGCCAAGGATGACCGAAGACGATAAAAAACCGGAAACGAAAGAAGAGATGTGCGAAATAATAAAAACTATATCTAAATCGGTCGATATATACCTAAAAGACTCGGACGTCAAGGACATATATCGCGTTAATTCCAATAAAGCAACTATAAAACCAATAATAGTGGAGCTTAACAGCGTCCTCATGAAGGAAAACTTAATAAAAGCAGTTAAGAATTTCAATAAAGGAAGACCAAAAGGAGATAAATTAAACTCTAGCCATCTCAAGATCTCTGGCCCTCCAAGACCGGTGTTCCTGTCTGAAACTCTGACATTTAATACTCACGTGAATTTGCGCGTAAAAATCAGTTTTCATATTGCTGGACGTCCAGAGGTCTAATATACCTACGCAAAGCTGATGGTCAACCTTTGATCCGTACCAATTCTGAAGCTGACATCCATAAAATCAAATCCTCGATTTGACTATACCTGCGATCTGCATTAGTCTTTTTGTCTCAAGTGCTCGTCAAGTTTCACAAAAAACTCATATGTACCCAAAATTCATTATTTGCTCATAAGCATTTCACTCTGTTAGATTAATAACATATTTAACTCTCACTCAACTTCATACAATTACATACATCCTAATAACTCTCATAAAATAACACTTTCCCAACATACAAACTTTTACTCATCCACACAACTTACTAAATCAAAACTACACTTCATATCCTATGATAGTTTATTGAACACTGTAATAATTTTTAGCTCCCCTGTAGGAATATTGAGTCAATTAGTTAATGAATATTTCAACAGTGAAATAATAATGATCAACTGTAAATTCCTTATTAAAATTCGATAGCTTACATACTAATATAAATAGTATCATTGATGATTTAACTGTTTCGAAATGTCAAACGTGTGAACCTGAAGACTGCATAAACCATGTGGACAATTATGGAAATTGCCTTAATATACTTACCCAGAATATTCGTAGCAAATAGCAAATATTTCTGGGCTTAAAACACTTTTATCTAGAATAGCAAGACATTATAGTACTGACTGAGTGTTGGCTTTTTTGTAATCCCATTACCCCGATAATAAATGGATCGCACAGACTTACAGCTCGACTGATCAATGCTCAAGATGCAGAAGATAAATGGTATGGATGATGGTGTGAATCTGCCTTAAGGTCAGTATGCGTCGGCTAACAGTAAACTTTAGTAAACAAACGACCACAAGGTTAACGCATAACGGAAACATCCAAAAATGGCAATGCTACTTCGCTTTCTCTCTCCACTGTGAAGTTAACTTGGTCGTGCACAGAATTGAGGTAGTCAAAGAATTCCGACAAACTATTTTCGAGATGATAGCGATATATCATCCACATACCGCCACCAATATCCAGGTATTATAGACGCATTAAGAAAAGACATTTCTACTATATCTGGTGGAGTCGCAGCCTTACAATCTGAACAGATATTACATTACAGGCGAATGTTCTCGGAGAAGGAGCGACCGAATGTTACAAGTTGTATTATTACATTGCGCAACCGCAACGATAGCTGGGTTCTTCTACCTCACCGCTGTAATGCTCAAATTTGAACTGTTACGTTACAAGCGAATGGTCGCGGATAAGGAGCGCCCTAAGGTTTTTGTACCAAACAGTAGCCCACATATTTTTATCAACGATTACTTTGGCCGGAAGACCTTTAGGCGGTTTATTGGTTACAAGGGTCAATGGAATTTAAATAATGATAATTATTCAACTTGTAAATGGAAGACTTTGTTGTAGTCAACTGATGTGATAGGTGATCTGTTTCTAGAAGGATAACGTCACAAAACATCGGATTGATAGACCAGTTTCGGATTCACCAGCCCACCCGCAGTAGACACCTCTGTTGAGACCACAGAACAGTAAATACAGTAGAAGCGGTTAGTTGGCGTATCACGTAGCTAACTGTATGCGAATTTTCACATACATAACCTCAATCCGCCGTTTTCACTTTGGACGTTATGGTCGATACAGTAATCTCGCCAAAACCTCGAAAAACTAAAAAAAATGCCTTATTTTTCTACTATAGAATGCATAAATTACAGTCGCACTTGTATATTATTATTATCTAAGGCGGTGTTTTGTATCATCTTGTCTTATTTAATTTCAACAAATATTCAATTTTCTGTTTATAGTAATATTCTTTTTGTTACAAGAAACGAAAGTAAACTGTATACCTCTGCAATATGGTCGCTTTTTTTGGAACATTAAGTAAACGTTTTGAATTCGTCGTCGTTCAGCTATTTACCACTAGAAGGCAGCATATTGATTGAAATTTCAGTTTGAAATGAAAATGTAAGTTGCAATCATTGACTTACAATATATGGACGTCGGGTCCGCGCTAAAAAGTGTCCGAACTTATAGGGCGTTAAAATCGTATACAGAGCGTCATTCACGCTTTAGTCTTCGTTTGTTCGACTGACGGCGAAGCAAGCAAAATTAGACAGTACTGCCATGGCATTACAATTTAAATTCAATTTTTTAGCTTTTTCATATTCCTTTACATGTCACTACGTTTAAATAGGTTGACTTGGGACATTTTTTTCGTGGTTTTTGTATTAGACCCGTCGTCCATTTATTCGTAAGTCAATGGTTGCAATAATAGGTATTGAACTTTCAATATATCGCACCCTTAGTAATATAAGGGCACAATCCAAAAAAAGTAGATTTTTGGGAAATTTGGGAATTGATAGGGACTTAAATAATAAATGGGATCAAACTTATATAGCTCCATATTTCTGTTATATTTTTTGTACTATATGGGTCTAACTTGAAAGTTTTTTTTTAACTTGCTTGAAACTTATGGAATTTATTTATATTATTTTTTTTATTGCTATTTATAATACATTTATCAAAGAACAAATCTGCCAAATTTCATATTTATAACTTAAATAATAAGCATATTATTTGAAAAAATAGGTGTAATGTAGGAATCCAGAATCTTAATACGCGATTTCCCAAAAATCTACTTTTTTTGGATTGTGCCCTTATATTACTAAGGGTGCGATATGCTGACAAGGTAAAATTTATATTAACAGTCCAGAATTTATTTCTTTTAATTAAAAGCTATAACCTATCATTATCAAGGTTTCATAATGTTTCAAATTATGAATGTGTGAGTTTTGAGCACAGCAGTTCTGGTGGTAATCGAGGCTTAAGGCGTTTTGTTTTTCCGTGGTTGAGACGCTGTAACTACAATATGAAGGTCGAGGGCTTTCTCACTAGTGTGATAGTGGAGTGTGACTCATGGTAATTATAATTGTGAGGTCAGAGTGCTTAATTAACGGTTGATGTTGTCAACATTGATTTAGTGTATCAGTAAACTTTGTAACTTAAGTTTCTTGTAAGATTTTTTGAGCAGAAGCCAGATACCTACATTGTAATGTTTATAAGCAA